ACTTCATCTGATAGCATTAAACATCTTCACAGTAAGCTTTTCAGTACTGAAATATAGAAAAATTCCAGATTGTACAAGAACACAACTGTTTTTAAAGGGTTTCCAGTTATTCCCCTTCAGCGTTTCTTAATGGACACAAGATTCTCATGAAATAGCAATGCTTACCACAACAATTTTCAGAAAAAGTTAATGGTAAAACAAGTATTATCAAACTTGGTTGTTTCAAAGATTCTATGGTTCTTTACACTGTGTTCCTTAAACTAATGTTTGTGTTAGATTTTGACTTAAAGGCCTTCCAAATTGTAATTTTTAGCACTCAGTGCTTTAAGTCATCTGATGCATGTCTTGGGTGAGTTATGTCACAGATAGAATAGTCCAGCCTTGTGGCCTCAAGCTTGTGCTGCATTTCACAGTAAATACAAGTGACCAGTACCTTCTATTCTTCCATATTCTCAAGTGAATAAAATAACACCCTGTTAGTGAAATAACTGACATGCAAGAGTGACTTGTTTCTCATGTTCCCCTCATTCCTTTCCCTCCACCCCCCTGAAAAAACAGCCTGGTGATGTTTGTTTATTTCCCTTGTGACAGGGCAAAAAAGAACTTCAGGTCTCCCTGTTCCAGACACTGGTGCTGCTCATGTTTAATGAAGGAGAGGAGTTCAGTTTAGAGGAGATAAAACAAGCCACTGGGATAGGTTGGTATCAAAAACAGCCAAGTACTTCCAAGTGTTCTTACTAAAAAAACCTAAACAACTTGTTTCTGCTTTAGAGGATGGAGAGCTGAGAAGGACACTTCAATCTCTGGCTTGTGGCAAAGCCAGAGTACTGACTAAAAGCCCCAAAGGCAAAGATGTGGAAGATGGTGATAAATTCACATGTAATGATGATTTCAGACATAAGCTCTTCAGGATAAAAATCAACCAAATTCAGATGAAAGAAACGGTATATTTTTTTTTAATCTCTGGGGTTTAGATCCTTGGGTTAAGAACTTTGTTGCCTGCCCTTTTACAAGCTTTTTTCCTCCTGGTTGTCATGTACATACTGATATCTCTGTCAGAGTTACAGGTGTAATTTGGATGACAGCACATACCTAACAGTGATTTAAATGTGTGCCTCTGTACTAAGACACCAGTGATGCTGGATGTCTCTAAGTAAGGTTAAGAGAAGTTCCAATTCTGAAATGCTCTTTTCATCCTTTATCATTCCATGGAGCTTTACTGACCGTTTGTGAACATGGAAAATTCACTGTGGACTTGTTTCTCTGACAGCTGTCCAATGTAAAATCTGAGCAAAGGTTTAAATCTTGGTACAAGTGTGTTTTTCAATACACAATCAGTCTTCTTATCTGTAAAGGTTTTATGTCAGATATTTGACAGCAGGCATTTCGCTGTCTTACACTGAGAATTGTCTTGGAGACTGAAAGAATTGTTTTGGCAGTGCTGGTGTTGTCATTAAAGCTTTTCTGAATGGGTCCTTCAGGTGGAGGAACAGGCAAGCACTACAGAGAGGGTGTTCCAGGACCGGCAGTACCAGATTGACGCCGCCATTGTGCGGATCATGAAGATGCGCAAGACGCTGAGTCACAACCTGCTCGTGTCAGAGGTCTACAACCAGCTGAAATTCCCAGTCAAGGTGCTGTGCTGATTTTAATACTTCTAAAACTCTATCAGGTCTTTTTATCTTCCCTGGCCTGCCCTCAGTTGAACAGTGCTTCTAAAATATGCATCTTTTTAATATTAGAAAGGGCAAATAGTCACTTTCAGGAGGTTTTAAAGTGCCAGTTGTTACTAAAATCTATTTCCAAAGGATTTCAGCCCTGGAGTTTGTTAGCAGTAAGGGAGCAGCTGGCTCTCCTCGTAGGCTGTTCCACTGTTTGCAGTGTTCTGGCAAGGTATTCTTGGGCAAAGGAGAAAATGCTTCAGATCTCAAAACCAATTCTGTGTTGCAATCTTAACTTGGTTGATGCTTTTGAAGTACAGTGTTTTTTCTGGATGGATTATACTGGTTAATATATATACTCACATGTATAGGAATAAAAGTAAAATTGGTGAATGTCTCAAAGCTGAAGAAGCCCACAGTTGAGATATAAAATAACTGGCTTATTGTGTACAAATGGAAATGGGATTTCAAATAGACAGTGATGCATTGTTGGAATTCAAATATATGATGCTTTCTATCAGTGGAATTGTAAAACAAAAGGTCCTGCTATTTAATTCCATTGTATTACCATGTTGAGTGCCTGCAGGTCTGTAAGTATTACATAAATTGCAGTTGGGCTGTGTAAGATTATAGCAGATCATTTAAATAATTTTCCTCACTTGTTATCATGAGGCATTTTTATAAAGTTCCTCCCCCAACAAAATCACAGGGCACACAAACTATTGCACAACTCATTTGCTTCAAGAGGAAATGAAACTTGTACTTTTACTGGCTAAAAGTCCAAAATAGAAACACTTTGGTACATGATGCACAAACTGCACTTATTTAGAGTTCAGTTCAAACAGCAGCAAGTATCTTCCCTTCCTGTAAAAATCTGTTTAGCTGCAGGTGATAGCTAACTTTGTAACTTTCTCTTCTATCAGTTATACATTGCAGACTTTAGAAGCTCTGATACTTTAAAGGATTTTTTAAAGTGGGATTTCTGTTTCCTCAGCCATATCAAACAATATAGATATTTGGCTCAAGTGGAAAGAAAAGAACCAAGAAGCATTGACTGCAAAGTAATAATGCTGACATGTGCTTTGTTTTACAGCCTGCTGACCTTAAGAAGAGAATAGAATCCTTGATTGACAGGGACTACATGGAAAGAGATAAAGAAAACCCGAATCAGTACAACTATATTGCATAAACATATGTTGGCCTTTGTTTTACTGCACACTTGGTGTCCTACACAGTTGCCAGTGGATAAAGTAGCCTCTTGATCCCATTAATTGACTTTTTATACTACCGATGATTGAATGAAAGCAGTGTAATGGAAAAGTATAGTAGAGTGGACTTCTTTCAGTGGTTAACATGCCCATTTAAAGAGTAATATTTACATTTTAAGAAGAATGCTGTTGAACTCTTTGCATGTTATTTAGTAAGATGTGCAGAAAGCTGAAAGAAAGTACCTGGTCTTTCTGATTCCATTTGTCTCTGGGTCTGAAGAGGAGTCCCTTGATATATGACAGATATCTTTCACATCTTTAAATGGAAACAGAAGGTTCATTAATATAAGAAAATAGCCTTTAAAATGCTTAAACTGCATGCAAACTTTTAATTTACTGTACAGAATGCATTTCAGTTATACATACCATTGGTTTGGTTGATGCCCACACTTGGATTTGTTTCTCTTGATGGGGGAAAATGGGGAATAAGCCAAGCTATGCTTATTGCTGATCTAATGGCAAATATTCTTGGTTGCAATTAAGACAAAATGGTGCCATTATAAAAGGATGTATAAAGTTTGCAGTGTGGGCATATATACTGTATATACAAACACCATTCTTAAATAACTGCTACAACAAAACAAGTTCAGATTAGATTTATATGGCTTGCCTATGAGACTTGGTGTTCACCTTTGGGAATTTTAAGCATAAAACAGCCATAATGGAAGAAGTGACAGTTTTTACTAGTCATGGGTAGAGGAGGCCTTCACCTCTTGGCAGCAATACTCTAGAATAAAGATAATCTATTAACAGATGAAAAGCCACACTGTTACTGTGGTAAAGCTGTAAGAACAAAAATTGCAAGTGGATTTTAATACTTGTTTTGCTTTGCAACATTCTAAACTTGAACTAACCTCAAGGTTTAGACAGGGCAGCTCTTCTAAGACTGCCCTGCTTTGGATTGCTTTAACTTAAAGCTTTAAGAACTCAGCCCTAGAGCCTAGCAGGCCTCCTAGAACCCAGAAGCCTACCTCTCATATAGTAAGTTAAGTATTGCTACAAGGCATCTAAAATATATTTTCTTAGATGACCAGAGAGCATTCTTTGCATCTTTATAAGACATGGGAGAGTAAGTCACTTGAATGTAGAGCTTTGTTTCAACAAAATACATTTTTTATTGCTTATAGCAGCATGTGCCAGGAATATATGGAAAAAAAAAGATGTCAGCAGAAAAGGAACTCCTCCACGTACCAGTTCTTCCTTACCTAGCCAGGCTTTGTACCTATGATCAGCTGTGTTGCAGAGCACAATGAAAAACCTCATCCTCTTTCAGGCACTGATAGTCCTGGGGAATACCAGATATCTCTTGAAAGCAAGATGTTACTTTTGTTTAGTGGCAGTGTAACTTAGCTCTCTCTGACTCTAACTTCTATCACTGTGATCCCACATTCAGGGGTGTGCATGTGAGAGTGTGTGTGTGTGTGTTTTCTATCTGACACATCCCATCCTTAGTGCTTTTTTTTATCTGCTGTTTAATTCCATATATTCTCCAGCCATGTTTTCTCTCAGGCTCTTTTGTATGCAGTCCTCAGCTGACAGATTAAACAAATGTGGGTGTTTTTTTCCCTACTAAATTATTTGCAGTCACCCTCAACTAACCATCATACAGTTCTTTGTGATCTGCAGAAAATCTGCCTTGCCCCTTGACACTATTGCAGCATAACCACTGGTAGACATCCAGGGCCACCCCTGCCTCTGTGAGACAAATACTGACAGTAGAGTTATGTGGGAAGAACCTTGGAGACTCCTCCTGCAAATCTTCAAGTACTAGCTCAAATTGAGATCCACTGGGGAGGAAAGAATGCCTCCCACCATAAAAAAACTTCTGTGTTTTGCATTCAATGTTCCTTTTCTTGTATGTGTTTTGTATCTTCAGCCAATAAAAGATTCCTTTTAAAGAGAAATGGAGAAGAAGCATAAGACTTAACTCTTTGGGAGACAGGAGCTGATGCATTGAGCTGGTTCCATTCAGTCTGTTGTAGCATATAAATCTAACACCACTACACGTGTGAACACCCATTGTGGCAAAACCCTCCCTCATTACACAAGTGTCACATTCACTCAAACAAACTGCAAAGGACTGTAGGTTTATTTCATTTTTATCCTGTCTAATGCAGAAAATATTATACAGAAAATGTCCTGAAATCTCATCAGAATTCACAATCTGAGGCAGACCCTAAGCTCAATCCAGTTAAAGCAACCCAAAGAATGGACTTTGAGAACCCTGGCCAGACCAGGAGAGGGGTGAGTGAGGGGAGGGCAGAAGGCTTCTCCTTGTAGCTTCATGGGTTTTCCCCAAGAACTTGTTCATCTCTTCTGCTAAGGTCTGGCTCATTCCTGGTTCATGACAAAGCTGCAGCCAAGATCTGTCGTCGTACAACTCCGCAAATTCTTGCTGGGATCATGTGCCTGCTTCTTGAGCCATATATATCTCTGTAAGAAAAAACTGAAATGGGCTTGGACCACAACTCATCTGGCTAGAACACAGCTTGTCTTTTGGCCACACATTTTTAATCTTGACTCTTGCATGCAGTTTATAGCACCTTGTTCATAAGAAATTGCAGTTTATTCTTAGAAATATATATTTTAGGTTTTTTAATCTTTATACCCATAAATGGACTATTTTTTTGTCTTGGCTGGTTTCAAAAGTGACCATTTTGTTTAAATGCTGTAATTGCAAATGTGTTGTAAACGTTGTTTTGTTCTATAGTTTACACAAAGGTGCCAAAGTAAATAGTTAATAAAAAAAAAAAAAAAAACAAACCCTAGCAAATTGTTAAGTTGCTTTAGCTGTTCTTCATATTTTGGTCTCAGCTTTTTTTTTTTTTGTCAGCCTTTCATTTTTTCCTAGACATATCACTTGCCCTAATGCTTTCTTTTAAAACAAAAAAAAAAAAGTGCATCTAAAAAAATATTCAAATACCACTCTTTTTTTAGTGCTCTCATATAGTAGGAAGAACATTTTCTTTAAAACGTTACACTAAAATTGTAAGAGTACAGCAGCATTCAAAAATGTAATATACTTTTTGTATAACAGTCTTGAGAGTGTGTCTGGAGTGGGGGGGAAAAACTAACCCTGTTACTTTTCAGAAGCCTCTTCCCTCAGCTACCAGAATATGAAAATGTGCTTTTTCACAGCATCAAAAACTTATAGTTTATGCAGACTTGCAAACAGGGCATGTATCACCGTTGCATCCTTCGATGCAAAAAGCAGCAAAACCTTTTTTATGTTTCATAAGTCTGATATGGGTACAGAGAGTCTTTCTTAAGTTGGTAAATAATGTAAATACATGTCCTTTCAGAGAGTGAGTCTGTTATCTAGGTATTTTGTGTCATTTAATAAATATTAAACAGTTTTGTGTTGATAAACTCTTGTGTGTAAAATGCCTTCTTACTCCAAGTTCTGTATGTTGGGCTTACTAATGTTTATGGCTTCTTTAAATTCTTTAGCTTGTGCTTTGATAGCAAAATACTTGTTTGCTACTTAAATATAATAAGTAGTTCTTTATTCATTCAGTCATTAAAATCCCTTGAGTTTTCTAAGTGGCTTCCATTCCTGAATTTTTATTATTTTGGGTTTTTTGCTAAGTCTTCTATGGTTCTTGGAGGGGAAGGAAATAAGCATCCTCATAGACCCTGAATTGGGATTAGAATGTGTACAAGTGGCAGAATTACACAAAAACACCAGAGGTGGTGCCTTGTTGCTCCTGAAGGAGGCAAGTGAATATGCTGTGACTACTCCTTGTCTCCCACTTTATCATTATTTTAATGACTCTAGAAGGATTATTGAAGTGTGAAGGACAGAGCTGTCCTTCATTCTCCAAAATACAGAATTTGCTTCTCATATTAAGAATGGCCAATTGGCCATTTCTTGATTTTTCTTCTTGGCCCTGAGCAGCTGGGTTAAATCTGAGCAGAAGGGCTGTGTCCAGCCTGGCCCTTCCCAGCTTAGGAGCACTGAGGACTTGGTGGAGGGAGGAGATGGAGTGTTTTGGATTTCCTTTTTGAACCCTGGAAACTGGGATGGCTGCAGCAGAGCAGGAGCTGATCCTGTTCTGGGAAGGCTGGCAGTTCCCTGCACTGCTGGAACCACACAAAGGTCTGAGGCAGGTGGGTTTAGACGGGTCTGGGAAGCATCTGCCACCAATCTTGCTCAGCTGCTTCCTTCCTGTCTTACAGCCTGGAGGTATCTAAATGCACAGGAGGGTTTTCCACCAACACTTTCTCCTTAAGGAGAATATTTCCTACATTCTTCACCAAAAAAAAAAAAAAAAAAAAAAAAAAAAAGTCCTACAGGAACAGATGATTGCTTGCAGACTGACAGGTTATCTGTCTACTCTGAGAAAAACAAAAAAATCTACAGATTCTGTTCCTTCTAATGATATTTACAGTAACAAGGAAGTTGCAGTAACTGCTTTCAGTAGATCCAACATTTAGATGTGTTATGCAATTAAGGAGTGTAGAGGGTCACTGCCCAGGCCTTCGCAGGGCTCAAGGGCTCCTGTGCTGCTTTGCAAAGCTTAGTCACTATGACTTTGCAGAAAGGGGCTAGCATGCAAGTGAATTGCATCTGAAATGATAAGGAATAGATTGCTTGTTACTATTTGGAGCAATAGTAGTTTTGATTCAGTGTGAAATATCAGGGCTAGATTATTAGCAACATGTTCACTTAATATATAGCTTTATTTTCCCCTGCTGGACTGAACTTCCTAGGAAATTATCACTTTGCCTGCTCTGTTTCACCCTTGTGTAGTCTCTGAAGTTTGAGGTATAGCTGAAAAAAATTCATTATCATGGCCAAAACCAGATACCTTTCTCAAAAGCAGGCCCTTAATTACATCCACAAAGCCCTTCAGCTGGTGCTAGTTTTAGGCTCAAGGCAAAGCTGCTCTTTAATTAATTCATTTTCAGTGAAGGCTGGGCAGGGCACTGCACAGGCCAAGTTCTGCCATGTGCATGCTGGGGAGAAGGTGCATCTCTCAAGCATGAGACAGGAACAAAAATTACAAAACAGCCTCTGCAGAGGTGAGCTGAACCTTGTCACTGCACAGGTAGAGCTGGTTTGTAGGATGTGGCTGGGGAGTAGGTCAGAACTGGTTCTGCAACCACGGGGCTGCGATTCTGTCACTTGCAGAACTGGCACTGTGTGTGTATCCCTTCAGTTTCTCCCTTTCTATTCCTACAGCAGCAGTGGCTGCTTCAAATCCCCCTCTAAAAGCACAAAGCAAACACAGAACATCAAACTGGAGAGGGATCATTCCCCAAAGAGCTCTGTTTCAGGACAATGCAGTGAACAGGCATTAGCCTGGTGTGTGCCAGACCCAGTTTCTGATCTCTGTCAGAGCTGGAAACTATAGACTAGCTACAAATATCATTATGTTCTCTGTAAAAGGGATGTAATGTTATTCTAGGTCACAAGGGATCCTGGAGCACTGAAGTCCTGCAGTTAAAATATCCAGTTATGAAAATGACTGTATAATATCCAGTTTCCCTCCCTGCCTTGTATTTTGGATGTAACTTCTTTTCCTGCTGAAATCTCTCAGAAAATGTTACAGCCAACACATCTTTCATAAGAGCTGGAAGTGGGCGGTGCCTTCTGTGCAGAGCCGTTTTCACACAATAAATTCTGCTCTGAAGCTGACAGATGTATCTCCAGCAAGTTAGCACTGTGTGCCTATCAAACCACAAAAGCCAGAGTATTGACACACCTCTACTTTGCTGGAACAAGCCCAAAGAACATGTTGTCAGTCAAACAAGTTCTTTTTTTCTCTCCACATTAAACAGAGCTACATCTACAAGCAGCTTGGTCTGACTCACAAAATGCATCAATCTCATCTGCTGCCACATGTTAACCCAGCTGCAGCACACACACATCACATCCAGCAGCAGCTGGAAAGGCTTTCAGCACCGCGGGGCATCCCAGGACTGCGGGGCATCCCAACACCTGCACCCCGCAGCGCCGAGGGGAAGGGAAGGGAAGGGAAGGGAAGGGAAGGGAAGGGAAGGGAAGGGAAGGGAAGGGAAGGGAAGGGAAGGGAAACCATTGGGACAGCGAAGGAACACCAGTGGTACAGCAAAGGGATACCAGTGGGACAGCGAAGGGGCAGCAAAGGGACAGCTGCTGCCCCAGCACGGTGCCAAGGCCCAGCTCCTGCCCTGCTCGCCCCCCTGAGCTCCATCCAGCCCCGCCGAACCGAGCTGGGTTTCTGTACCAGCCCGTGCCCATCGCCGCTGCCGCCGCCCCCAGCCCGCCCCGGGAATGTTTTTCCAGCTGCGTCGCGACACGACGCAGGTTTTACAGGAAATTTCGCAGCTCTCTGCTGCAACCTGCTCTCTGATCCCTTCACCTCCCCAGCGAGGTTTCTTTTTTTGGCTTTTCACGTGATTTCCCCGGTCTTGACTCAGCAGTTTCCCGCAGAGCCTTTATTGGTTTGGTTTCCCAGCGCCACCTCCCCGCAAAGGGCTGCCGGCCGCTCGGAGCCTGCGCACGGCTTAGATAAGAAGGGTTTGGGGTTTTTTCGGAGCGGCCCCTGCCCCCGAGCAGAGTCACACACGCAGCTGAGGCCCTGCAGATGTCACCCTGTGCTGGACGCTCCGTGGTTTTCATTGCGGTGGCCGGAGCCCCCGTGCTCAGTGCCCAGGCTGCAAACCGGGCTGTGTGAGAAGAACTCGTGAATAACGCTCAGCTGTTGGCACAGCCCCAGGAAGGTCCCTGTGGTTCATCCCCCTCTGCCAAGTGACTCTCGGACCTCTCTGGCCAGCATTAATACATTCCTCTTTCCACCCCTTCCATTGAAATGGAACCAAATCCTTCCCCTGCCTCCTGGGAAGGAATAATTGTTCTGCCATAATCTTTTCCCTGAAAAAAAACCCAGGAGTTGCCCTTTTGTTTAGAGATATCTAAAAGAATAAATAAAAATACATTGGAATAAAGCCATGATTACTACATGTCCTAGGGATTATCTCTTTCTTCTTTTTATCACAACCTCTACTTTTCTGCACCAGGAATCAGAAACATTAAGTTACTAAGTGCATCATTAAACAGTGGACACTTTGCTTCTGACCACACACATACATCAATTCTGGCAAGTCCCAGGGCTAAAGAAAGTTTGATTACAGAAATAGTATCTAAACTACTGAAACTGCTAAAGGATTCACGAAGGATTAAGCATATGATGCAAATTAAATTAGGCATGAAATTATATTCCTCAATGAACTAAAGCTTTAAAAAGAAATTTTAATATTTTGATATTTGCTCTCATTACATGTCAATACCTTCTTAAAACAACTGCTCTCAGGCAGTATAACATGCAGTAAAACTGTAATGCTGTACAGAAACATTACAGTCCTCCTTCTCACATCCAGCAATAAACATAAGGAATGTGAATGTCTTAGAAAACCAGGATCAGCTAAATTAATAAACTATACTGTTCTTTTAATCCCACACTGATTGCTATTTTTCTTGTGTTATTACACAGAAAAGGATTTGCTTGTTATGTTTGCTGCCATTAGATTTCATTTCAAGCTTCACTAAATTGGCATAAAGGAAACAAGTTAATCAGCCTTCCCATTATGTCTGCAGAACATCCACTTGGTTCAGAGCCCATTTCCTACCGTGCAAGCAAGAGATCCAAACACTCAGAATTCTGAACAAGGGAGTGTTGGAACATATCAATGTATATTCATAAGTCCAGAAGTAAATATTCCAGCAGATGCAAAGGGTGCCATTCCGCTGCATGAACTACCTGAAAAGACCAATCATTTTCTCCTCTTCCAATTAATTAACGCTTAATTCAATGTCTGTGTCCTAATAGTCAAATCCTCCTAATTTGATTGCTCCTAACTCTTTGTGAGATCACTTTTCAAAAAAAGTACTTTGTCCTAAAGGAGTGAAGCCTGAGGAAATACAAAATCCCTAGAGCAGGACTCTCCCTAGCCTCTGAAATGCCCCACTCTTTGTGGTGGAGCTGAGAAAGACTTGCTGCTTTCAGAATTCGTGGTTTCATCTGTGCTGCTGTTACTGACATTTCCCTCCAGCCTACAGCAAGACAGTTATTAAATATAAAGTTTATTTCTTCAAATACATATTTGGTAATTAAGCCTTAAGGATAAATATAAATTTACTCTGTTTTGAAATTATGTGAATCTGAGAGTCACATGCAACCATACTTAGACAAGGGCATGTGCAGGTGTGTAACACACGTGCTGAGTGGGCTCTAGGTGTAGTTACTAAGCACAAAAAGAAATGCAAAGAAGCAGTGAACTTCTCTGAGCACAAAAGCCCTTGTGTAGGACCCTCATTTGATTGATGCCCTGATTTCTGTGGTGGCCCTGACACACCAGTTTTGGTTCTGTGACACTCTATGGGAAAGTACAGGATTGCAAGCATGCAGCTGAGAGAAATTAACTGCCCTTTGATAACAAATTATTCCACTTCCTCCAGACTGCATAACTGCTTCCCTATCAACCATCTACACTCCAACTGTCCCATTATCAGGTCAATGTGTTTTATTGTCTTCTTCAGACTCCATCTTCTCCCCCCATGACTGGGGATGTGTCTTAGAGCCCGACCATTGAAAATCCTCAGTTCTTCCACAGCACCACAGCCAGGAATATGCCATTCCATTAGGCCCTTCCCTGCTGAGCACAGAGCTCCTGTCTCCTCGGGCCATCTCCTGGCTGTCTCCCAGCCTCAATGCCTTCTTCATTTCCCCTTTCTCTACCAAGCCAGCCTTTCTGACTTGTTTTCATCGGCTATGGAGTTTTGCGGGTTTTTTCCCCCTAATCAATAGTGTCCATCAATCCAGCATCCATCACACTTTATACACACTTTATTCCACCTTCCAGACCCAAATCCACTGAATTTTTTCTCCAGCCGTCTTCTCCCCGCTTTGCACCGCAGGCTCTTCTCTCCCTCATTCGCACCAAACTCCTGTCATCTCCCATCGTTTCCTGCCCCACTTTCTGCCTTTCAGCACCCCCAGAAAACGCATTAAAGCTCGGGGTGCAGGTGCCAATCCCTCCCGCCGCAGGGGCCGGTCTGGAGGGGGTTTCTGCCCGGCCACCGGAGCACCGAGCGGCCCTCATGGCAGAGTGGATGGACAGCAGCGACAGCCATGGCAGGACAGGGGCACTGAGAGCCCACTAACCCTTTCTATTTATTGCAAACACGGGCAATATCTTTATTCTTTATTTGTTTTTCTCAGTGAAAGCCTCTGTATTAAACTTCCCTGGATGGGCACCTCTTGTAAGGTACCCCTTCCCAGACTGGAACAGCGCCAGGGCACACCGCAAACACTGCCGAGGGCCAGAACAAGCCGCCGCTACCCTTCCCCTGCAGAGGCCATCGCTGCTGTCCCCGCTGCCGGTGCCGCCGCCGGATCGGGACTGGGACAGGAGCGGATGAGACAAGACCAGACCCGCCCGCCCGAGGCAGCGCGCGGCGAGCGGCCCGTCCGCGATCCACGGAATCGAGCGGCGGCGCCGAGCGGCGATTGGCGGCGCGCGGGCGGCCCCGCCCCGCCCCTCACATGACCGCTAGCGAGGTTTTTGTCGCGCCCGCTCGCCCCGGCCGCTCGCCGTGCCCCGGTGTCCCCGCCGCCGCCGGCAGCAGCAGCAGCAGCACCGCCACCGCCATCGCCATGGGCCCGCGCCGCTCCGCCGCCTCCTCCCGCGGCCGCCTCCTCCTGCCGCTGCTGCTGCTCGGCGTCTCTGGTGAGCGGGGCAGCGCCAGGGCCCGGGGGAGGGGAGTGGATCTCGGGTGTCCCCGCAGGCTCGCGCCGCTCCCCGCCCCGTCACGCGCGTGACGCGGCGCGCGGGCACCGGGGGTCCCGGGGGGGTCCCGGGGCCGCCTCGGCCCCGCGGCACCTTCAGGGGGCGGCCCCGGGGCGGAGGCGCCGCTGCCGCCCCCCCGCGCCGCCACCCACGGGAGGGGAGGGGACAGCGGCGGGGCCGGGGAGGCCGGGAGCCTCGGGGCGCTTCCGCCCAGGGCCGGGGCCCGGCGGCCGGCACCGCGGGCCCACCCGCGCGGCCCGGCCCGGCCCGGCTGTTCTGTCAGCGCTCCTCGGCGTGGGGCCGCGGGCACGGCAGCGTCCGTGCCGGGAGTCACCGCGTCGGGAACACAACAGCTGGGAAAAGTTCTCTTAAAAGGCAGAGGGGATTTAACGCCCGTGTGTCTCGAGATGGGAATGGTGGAAGCGCAGTGAAGGCACTGCCGAGCCCATCTCTTGGGGGTCAGCTTGAGCCGTAATCACGGATACACCACGTAAAATAATAAAAATAATAGACCCCGGTCTACAAGCAGCACATTGTTCAGGTGCTGTGTTCGTGCCCTTTGGTTTACCCACTGTGTCACCAGAAAGCTGATGCTTACTTCAGAGAGTCAGAATTCCAGGTTGGAAGGGGCCTCAAGGTTCAGCTGGTCCAGCCTTTCTTGGCAAAGACACGGTCTAGACAAGATGGCCCAACACCCTGTACAGCCAAATCTTAAAAGTGCCCAGTGTTGGGCAGTCAACACTTTGCGATTATTAGTTTGTCAAGTAAATAGATTATAAAACATTCTGTCAATTTTTGCCAGCTTTGACAGCTTTGTGGTGTGCTTCTATTTTTGATGCTTTTTAGAAATCTAGTTATTCTTTTCACTCTCTGGTAAATTGAATATGGTCCTGACATAATTTACTGCTTTGTGATGAGCTGTCCTTTTAAGTGGTTCTAGAAAATTAAGAAAAATCAATGTCTTAATAGCTGATAATCATATCTTACAGGTTTTTTCCAGTCCTATGCAGTTGAAGTAGATATAAAGGATGCTTCTAATGCTACATGCCTGTATGCAAATTGGATGATGAGTTTCTTGATAACATATGAATCAAACAATGGTGATTATGTAAGTATTTAGGAGTAATTCTTGCTGAGAACTGGATTTTGACCTGGATTAAAATTTAAGCTCTTTTACCTAGGGTGTTTGATTTCTTACTTTTTTTTTTTTACTAAGTCGGTTGAGAGGAATATTCCTATATAGTCCTTATAAAGTAAAGAATAAGTTCTCAGACATACAAATTACTGAAAGTACTCTGTTGCTCTTACTTAAATGATGTACACAAACTCACCAAGTCTAACCAGTATCAGTGTAGTTATGTTCTTAACCCAAGCAGTAAATGTAATTGCAGCTCAACATAATCAAGATTTACAGGCAAGTTGGAGTTGTACTTTTGTACTTGAATCTGATACAGCTCCTTTCTCAGGCAGGTGTCAAGGAGTCTTTACCATAATTTTCCAGAATAACCTAAAATAAACTCACTTATCTTGTGCAAGGTTTCAGCTAACTCCAGCAAGTTTATAAAGTTGTCATGGGGAAGAGCTGCATGTGAATGCATTTTTAATTCCCCTTTTCTTCTAGAAAAACACAACCCTGAATTTGTCACCCAATGCGACACACAATGGAAGCGTCTGTGGCAATGACACACAGGCTGCCCTTCTGGCAGTGCAGTTTGGAGAAGGTCATTCTTGGAGCATTAACATCACAAAAACCAATGAAACTTACCAGGGAGACTTCATCACACTGACCTACAACACCAATGACACAGCTGTGTTTCCTGATGCTAAGAGAAAAGGTAACATTCAGTTCAGAATCTGACTTGCAAAGCAATCTCAGCCAGAAGTGACAGACCTTGTGTACCTGACCTGGCTTGGCTCCTTCGAACTAAGGAGCAATCCAGGAGTTAGTAATGAATGTAATGAGTTCTGTACCACGTGCTGCCAGCTGCTGTTCCTTGTACCTGCCTGCTGGGTAACAGTGCAGGCCAAATGGCTTCACTGGATGTGTAATTCCTGTAAGTGGAAGAGAAAGGGAAGGATAAACAGCTTTGATCAGTGAGGTGGACAGCAAGCTCATGGAAGATTAATTTTAGTGGGCACTGCTTGACCTTCTACCTTGCTAAGCAATACAGTGTTAGGCTGTCTGTGTATTAATGCCTACTAATAATAGAACTATTTTCTCCTTACAAACTTAAGTAAAAGGGTTCACCTTTCTTATGGCTTGTCTAGTTCTGTAAGCTTGGTTACTCCTAGCTTTACTCGTAGCATTACCTATCACTTCAGGTCAGGACATACAGGGAGAACATTCAGGAGAGATTAAGATTGTTAAGCTTAATTATCGCTTAGTCTTTGTCTTATGAAATTATAGAAAATGTAACACTACCTCTAAGTTCTTGTAGTTCATAACGCATTAAAATATTTGTGCTTATTTGTAGGACCAGTTACTGTTCTTATGAAGGATCCTGCAGGTCCAGTTCAGCTGAATACTGTCTTCGTGTGTCACAATTACTTTGTTATTGAAGCAGAAAATATAAAACAGATTTTCTGGAATGTTACTGTGCAGGCTTTTGTTCAGAATGGCACAGTCAGTAAAAAAGGTGAGCATTTCAGTTTGTGAAAGAGCTTTTTTGTATTGCACCTTAGTGCAGGGAGCAAAGTCCCATAATAAAAAATCCACCAATTATAAGATGTGTTGTATTTAATAATATCCATGTAAATATCCTCTAGTATTTCTTTCCTTGTTCCTGGAAAAATAGCTTAGGAGAACGGATTTAGTAGTGTGCTGTACTATTGATTGTTTGCCTGCCAAGGTGGGATTCTTCTCAAGTGTGTATTCCAGTAATTGGGGTATTAAAAATAAGCACTTCAGAGCTACTGTTGCTGAGTAAATCATTTGGGTTTGAGGGGTTTTAGCTGACTGCCTTCCACTTGCAGTGGTGGCCTCTGCTGTTGCATTTGATTAGTCCAGAGCCTGTTGTCTCATCTCATAGCTCAGGAAAGAGACAAGCACAGCATCCTGCTGCATGTAGCCTAATAGGGTCACTTACTTGGCTGACAGCAAATACACGTCACACTTTTAAAACAACTGAACTGTCTTTGTGTTTTGCTTCCATGTGTCAGAGGCAAGTGGTACTGAGCGTGGATTTAAAACTGAGTGTTACAGGATTTCTGAGAATAAGTGGCAACTGTACTTTGAGTAATGGGACTTCAATAAAATTTCAGTAATGAGATGGTGATTAAAATGTCTTTTCAGAGACTAGATGTCCTGCTGATAGACCTACTTCTGCACCTACTGTTCCACCTACTATTGCCAATGTAACCACTGCACCTACTGTTCCACCTACTATTGCCAATGTAACTACTGCACCTACCACTACTGCGTCTCCTGCTCCAACTCCTCCCAAGCCTGTAGAGAATCCAGACACAGGAAACTATTCTCTTAAAAGTGGAAATAAAACGTGTTTCCTGGCAACTGTGGGGCTGCAACTGAATGTTTCCCAAGACAAGGTGCTTCTTTTTTCTTTTGAAGAGTAAAAGTTGCTGTAGTTATTTGGTGTGAAATCTGAATGCAGAGTATTGCTGTGTGCACTGCTGGCTGTCTAGAACTGCTTCTAAGTATTATATGTAGCACCTCTCTGACATCAGAATGGTTTTGTTGCATAATACAGGTATTCAAAAACCTTACATGGATTCAACAGATCTTTTTATTTGGAATACTTCTAACATGATTAAAAGTCTGGAACTTCCTTAGCTGTTATGGCTCTTATTCCCTGCAGATATTGTCTTTCCCCTCAGAGGGTAGCCTGTTCTGTTTGGGAACAAAGTAACACTTCTCGAGGAATTTGTTTGTTTCAGTACTGCCAGCATGTAAATTTAACTCAAACAGCCTTGGTTCCACAGCAGCCAAGCTCAGCTCTCCGTGCTGTCATATTTATGACAAGCTCTTCTAACCCCAAACTGTTCCTGACTGAGACAATGTATTCCAAAGGCAGCTGAATGTCTTTGATGTGCTTTGTCTGTATTTCAGCCTCTTCTGATCAACATCAATCCAAAGACAACTGTCGCAGATGGTGCCTGTGGTAACACAACAGCCACTCTGAAATTGAATGATGGAAATAGCACACTGATTGGTTTCACATTTGCTGTTGTAAGTAACTTCTTTTATTTTAAACTAAATTTATCATTTAACAGCATGCATGGTGATCACTTACAGTAAAATCCTCCTGTTGTTTGCTGGTGGTTGGCTGTTCCCATATGGGAAGTGTAACTGGCCAGCTGAGTGCCTCAGGACAAACGGAGAACTGGGTTAAAGTGGTAGAAAATGTAAGACTGGTAAATGTGTTGGCTTTTGTAAAGCATGTGTTCTTAAATTTACAAATGCAAAATTGCACACTAACACTTGGTTCTTGCTTCTTGAACAGAAAAATGCGAGTGCAAGTGTACAGAAATTTTATCTGAGGGAGGTGAATGTTACTCTGCTCAACCGTCTGAATGGTTCTGGTAAGAAACAGTATCTGCCTTAAACAAGGGTAAAACTTTATTCACTATCTGCATCAAATAATTCTGGCTTTTCTTCAGTGTTGCTCATGCTTACTGTTAGCTCCTACTCTATGTCTAGAAGTTGGTATGAGCAAAAATAATAAGCAGAAATGGCTGTAAGAGTTACTTTAAACAGTGTGGGAGCACTCTACGATTCCTGAAACTTCTGCTAATGGAGTCACTGTAAATCAGGAGGGCTTCTTTTCAGTAATGTAATTTTTTGTGGTGTGAAATCTAATTGTACCAACTTCAAAGCTTTTTTCCTAAACCAGTTGTTGTCTTCTTTGTTTTAAGATGCTGCTGTATCTTCCAACCACTTGTACTCTCACTAAAAAAAGGCCAGTCCTTCAGAAGCTAAAGTATACCTTTTTCCCAACAAACATATGTTTTCTTTTTTTTTAAATTGCTTGTCATAGCTACAGCAATTAAAGAGCATTAAAGCTAAAGCACTTGCAACTCTGCAGCACTGAGATCAGTGGAGGTATAAGGAAAGCCTGATGTCATGTACATGTGAAAGAGAGGTTACTGTAATAACTTCAGGTTTTGATTTCTGGTTAAGCTGATCATTCCCACTTTGCACTACTTTGTTTTTCAGACTAGTCAGTGTTGAAGTGTTGGCCCCTCTAGATTCAGCTACTCAGTCTTACTATATTAGCAACTGTCTTGCATTTTAAGTGAACATGTAAATTCTTTCTTTTTTTTCCTTCTTTGTTTAGTCATTTCAAGTGCAGATAACAACAACTTAAGCAAGTGGGATGCTTTCCTTGGTAGCTCTTACATGTGCCGAAAAGAGCAGACCCTTCAGATTAATGAAAATGTTCAAGTACATACTTTTAATCTATGGATTCAGCCATTCCTTGTGGAGGCAAATAAGTTTGCTACAGGTAAGAGTTATGGTTTTTTTTAGTGATGCTTGCAAAATTCTCACTTGCTAAAAAGCACCAGCATTAGGTACAAGCACTTTATCTCAGAAGCTCTTGTTCCAATTTTTTAAACTATGTTTAGATATGCATGGAATGAAGAGAAGTTCTGAGAGTGACATTCAAGTTCAAGCAAAGCTTTGTTCTCACTTAAAAAATGTCTGCTAAGTGTGTGGTTCTTCTTCACAAAACTTGAATGAACTAGAAACACTGAATAGGGACTTAAGGGTTGCTGTGCAGAATAGGTTAGAAGTTACTTGATAACATCTTGACTTACAGCATTTGTAGCTCAGATATGTAAGAAAATTGGACAGAACTTTTGCAGAAGTTGACTTTGGGAATACTGTTAGGTGTTTTGTTTCTTTTTACCTGTCAGTCTGAGGAATAGGAGTGTTGGGGAAGAATGAACTGTCAGGACTTCCTTCAGAGGCAGTCTTGAGTATCCAGAACGAAAGAGATCCTGAAATGTTTGTTTGCTGCAATATCTTGATCTTGTCTGGAGAAAACTGAAATGTCTTAAATTACCTCGTAATATTTAGTGCAAACTGGTCTTTGTGCTTAATGCTAATACCTGCAGCACAGTCTTATAGGACTAGACTGATCTGTCGACACATAGATTGAAAAGTTCTGGTTTTAGACAGAAGTAAGATAACTCCAGATGTGTGTAGGGATAAACAGTTTAGTCTTTCTAAAGAATTAGGGACCCATTTCACTCTGTAGTTAAAGTTGCAGCTAGCTTTCTTCTAGTTATTTTATCTGTGTAACATGTATTTTTTCTGGATAGAGTTTTGATACCAAATCTAGGTCACTTTTTATCCTTAATGAGTGAAAGTACCAACCAGACTTGCTTTAAGTATGAAATAGATAAGCCTGGTTTGTGAATGTAGAAGAATGGCTGCTCCCTTGCCTGGTACAGATCTTGTGGACAGAAAAACTTGTACACCCTTAACTTGCTATAGGTTATCAATGCTTAAATTAAGTAAAATGTTTAAATGTGCTAAATGTATTGATGAGACCTCTGCAGTTCTTTCTCTCTTAGTTTAAATACTTGATTTTTTAACACCTTCATATTAAGGAAAACAGATTTTTATACCACACTTGGCAAGTGTTCTGTCTTTATTTATTCCTTATTGCAACCTTTTTCTCACCTACAGCCCAGGAGTGTTCGCTGGATGATGACAGCATTCTAATCCCAATTGTAGTTGGTGCTGCACTTGCTGTCTTGATTGCCATTATAGTGGTTGCTTACATAATTGGCAGAAGAAAAAGCTATGCTGGATATCAAACTTTGTGAATCTAAGTGTGATTCCTGTTACAATTTCACTCTAAACAAAGCAAGTGCAAGTTCTGAAGTCCAAAAAAGACCCAAAACTTAGGAGTAATTACTAGCCACAGCTAATTGGAGTTGAGAATAAAGGGAGAATGTTTATCTCAGATGAAGCAGAATTACACTTTGTTTTCCTGCCCTAAGAAGACCATGTGGGTTTCATAGCTGTCTTGAAGATGTCAAATCCTGGATGAGTTGCTAGGCTAAGGATTTTATCTTGCAAAAGTCCTAAAGCTTTTAGGATTTATTTCTGCTTTTTACAAATATTAGCCTGAAACAATAACACGTTCTGAACTGATGTGCATTGGGCATCTCCCAGAATAGCATAGAATTTGTACTTGCTTCTCTCCTCTGCGTTCCTTAGTTGTTGTTGTAATTGTGGGTTAAGCTGGCAGCATTAGTCACTCTGTTGACTTGTACAGTATTTAACAAGGATTGTCTAATGCCCAATAGCAACTTCGTTTTCCATAGGATTGAACTTCAGGCTGGTGATTAAGCGATCTCTGGAAGTGGCAGCAGTAACTTACTTGCCTTTGTTAGGATTTCAGTAATTTACTCCTGCCTTGGTGTAATTTCAGGAATCATTCCTATACAGTGGCTGTACAAACAAAATGGGTAATTTGCCAAATGGTGAATATATGGGAAGACTTCAGTGCCGTTTCCAGATGCTTTCAAAAAAAAACCTGTTAGGCACTGAATTCTTTGTTATACCTTGGCAATCATCTAAAACACTCACCTAAGGCAGACTTCTGCTAAATTAATGCAAGCTTTTTTTTGCTGGCATCAGTTTAAAGGGAATAACCTTTCTAAATATTCCAGAACTTTAAAGTGCACTTAACTTCATACCATACTCTGCACAGAACTGGTCTGTCTTGTTGCTTTGAATGACCTTTAAAGATGCTTTCATTTAATGAGCCAGTATCTGTTGTTGCAGCTTGAGCTGTTTTTAAATCTTCATCTTGAATGGTTCTCTGCCAGTCCAAGTTCACATTGTAGCTGCCCGCCATTGGCACTCTGAATGTTGAATGTTTGTGTTGGGTTGTTTGCGGTGTAGCATTTATTAATGTTAAGAATGCAAAAGCCAAACAAGTCTGAGATGGACCCACAACACCTGTTTTTCCTTGCTGTATGAAAAGAATAGGTAGGTTAAAAAAGTGCAGTGCAACTGGACTGTTCTTTAACTGCAGCTCTGTAGAGACTAACCCTTGATGCACAACTTTGCTCTGGGCTCCTTGTGCATATTCTTACTGCATGGAAAAAAAAAAAAAGTCTTTTAGACTTTTAGATAATTGTGGCTTTTTTGCATATGTCATAACATGAGCTGCCTAAGCTAGTTATTTAATGAACATAACATTGTCTCCCCATTTAGAATGAGTTTAGCCTGCATCAAAGCTTCTCTAGTGTTTTATTAGTGTTCTCTAGGGTTGTAGAGATGTCTGTGGCATGTTTGTATACAAATCATAAAATACACTTCTTTCAGTAATGGTTTCGTTTGGTTTTTTTTTTGTAAAGACAGTTTACTCTTGACACTAGCCAAGGAAGCATGTATGGGTGGATAATGCTTACTATAGCTTGTAGTCTACAGCTTGAATTTTGCATCAGTTACTGAAATGCATTTTAATGAAAGTGGGGAACTGCTATAAGTTTAATCATGAAACAAGCTTCAAGACTTACCATTTTAATTTTTAAAAATGGATCTAATGACTTTCATATTAATATATCCTCAAATGCAGAAGTTCATATAGATTTTTTAGCTTTTTTTTTTTTTGTGAGTGATGTTCAGTGGCACCAGTTAAACATGCATCTCTGTTAAGGAGTAATCATCACACTATTCTTCTGACCTTGCAAATTTTTGAACTGTACACAATTTCCAAGTGATAAAATAGAAGATTCATGCAAACTGCTTCCTAAAATCAGCACTAGAAATACCATTGCAAAAACCTGTAAGTACATTGGCTCAGAGTTTTAAGTACTCCTAGACTGATGTGCAGGTAACTGGTTCAAAAAACATCAGTTTCACCTGACTTCCTGTTGTTATAAAACCACTAGTTTTCCTGTATGTATTGCTCCATAGGGAACTGTCAATCTGTTTAACCTGTGCTCTAAAAAATAAAGATTGTTCTATTTCTTAAGGAAACTTGTTCACATTTTTTAACTGATTTGAAAACAGACGTCTTGTATTGTCTTTTTTTAAAGAAAATAAACTCAATGAGTAAGGTGAACTCTAATCAGTCTGTATCTGAGATTCTGTTTCATAGCTGGTTTTGTTCTGGTCTGTGGAAACAGCATTTAAATTGTGGATGTATTTAACGCCTGTGGATGTGGAATATTAATGTGTGTAATCTATTACAGAGTGTGGTTGGTTTTGTACCTTATACACAGTTTACTAAATAGTGTATTCTAATGTCAGGGTTTCTGATATTTTAGATTAAAGATGTCATGCTAATAGTCCTCAAAAGCACCATTTCTAGCCAGTGAATGATGGGATTTAGGTTTTGGAAGGGTTCATTTGTTCATTGTTTTGGTGTTTTCTTTGGCTGGTTTTTAAAATTTTTTTATTTACCACAGTGCTCTCTCTTCCTTAGCATATGTTAATAAAACACAAACTTTGGGGCTGTTAGTTGAATCTCATGATTGGAATTAAAAGGGAAGGCAGCTTTTATACTGGGCCTAAAAAAAATTTGGGCCAAAAATGTCTGACTTTTTTGAATGGAGACACGTTCAGCCACGTCAGTCGAAAAAGCTGTTCCTGCTGGCCCTGCTGTGTGTTGGGCTGCAGTTACCAATTCTGCACCTGAAGACACCTCTGAGGCTTCTAACCACTGTACGGTAGCCATACCTGGATAGATGTGTGCCAGCAAGGATGGAATGTTCCTGCTATGAAGCCTTAACCCCTGTTTCACCCTGGGAATTGCCTGTAACAGTGCCACAGTGTGATGTGTGCTGCAGCCATCTCCTTCCTTTGACGAAGAGAGGGAATTTCTGTCACTCCTGCTGGGCACCTTCATCCTTAGCAAATCCATTCATATTTAGTGTTAGTGTTTAGTGACCCATTATCCAACATCTAGCAAATTGTCTATGTTAATATTTAGTGAACAAGATGACTAAATCTCAAATGTATGTCTCTCTTTAAGATGTTTAAATATTTTCTCAATCAGGATTTCTTGAAGTAGCTGTATAAGGTACATAGTTCCTTTCTCTTGTTTTTTTTTCTTTTCCTTCCAAGTGTTGCTCTACTTGGCATTAGGTGCTCTCAGATAATCTGAGTTCAGTATTTTCAGCTGTTGAGCCTCCACGTGTTGTTCTCCTTGCTCTTAGTCAAAGGCCTGGTATGGTATTTCAGGGAGGGGCCATGGCAAGTGTGTGCTGGACTGTCATAAGCTAAAGCAGGACAATACATTTCCCATAATTAATGCTGATTCAGTGAAAAACAGCAGTCAACTTTTGAGCAAGCGTTGACTCTGTGTGTGATGCTATGTCCTCATTAAAAACTCAAACAAAATCATTTTACCAGGGGTGCTGCCTTATGAAATGCATCTAAAGCAGGCGCTGTTCCAGTGCTGGAGAGCCAGGCACGGCCTCCTGCCTCAGCCCACCCCTCCTGGCGCAGGCAGGTGGAGCTCTGCTCTCCTTGCCAACAGCTGCGGTGCCAAGCCCTGCCCCCGAGCTGGAAACTGGTTCCCAGCATGGTGTGCTAATCATCGATGGGTGTTTGTACCAGCAAGGGGCTCCTCACCTTTTACAAGCTGTGTGTTAAAAACCACTGCAGTGTTACACATGTCTCTTCCATTTTCCCCTCTGGTGTGGATTTCAGTGAGGTCTGTGCAGTTCTCAGCTGAAACTGATAACCCTTTTGCATGGAAAATAAAGTTACCCACCCCAACAGAGCCTTCCAGTGTTTTCCACGCAGTGCCCAGAGGCACATTTATCTTGGCTGTCTCTTGCAGGTCTCAGTAAGTTTCTGCTTTGTTACTTGGGTTGTCCCTTATGCCTTCATGTCTAGAACCCAGAGGAGTACTGGTGACTCCAGGGTTGGGAAGACCCCTGGACAAGGCAGCACTACAGCAGTGTGGGGTTTTTGTTGCTTTATTGCTGCTAACTCTGAGGTGTGATCAACTAATGCCTGCTCAGACTGCTGGTTTGTCCTCACATTTCTAATCTATCCTCTGCTTACTAGAGGAAGCTGAAATTAAATGTACAAATCAGAAGTATATTACCAATATAAAGGATGTGTGAAGTAGGATGTATTTAAAGAAATCAATCTTTCCATCAATTCTTTACTCAATACTGATTTTACTTTACATGCATTATTGTATCTAATACAATGTAATTTCTCAGAAATGCCTGTTTGCTCCTTGCTTTCTTTTGTTTCTAATGCTTGATTTCCCTTACTAATTTATTCTCCCTTGCTTTTTTTTTGTTTTTTTTTGTTTTTCCTCTTTCTGCAGCTGAAGAATGCATTGCTGATTCTGACCTGAACTTTCTTATTCCCATCGCAGTGGGCGTGGCGCTTGGATTCCTTATCATTCTTGTCTTTATCTCTTACATCATTGGAAGAAGAAAAAGTCGTACTGGCTATCAGTCTGTATAATCTCTTCATTCCATCTCTGTTGCCCACCTTCCCTGTTCTTTTCCCTTTCCCAGACTTCCTGGCCTGCTCCTTAAAAAACAAGAAAGAAAAACAAATTAATTCAAGGTTTCTTTATTTAAAAAAGTTCAAATCACTTCATGGCAGAATAACAATCGCTTCATGACAGAATAACATGCCATGAGTCTGAAGATGAGTTGCAGAAGCTACTGTATGACTTTGGAGAAAGTAAGTGTTCTGAGGACCAGAGAATTGAACAGAGTTGGTGTGTCCCTGTGGGAAATGTGATTATTTTTAGTAAAGAAGACATCTACAAAACTTTCTGTCGTTTAATCTTTTTGTACAAGAAAATTTCTAGATGCCTACAGCTTGTCTTGGTTAATGCTACAGCTAAAACTATAATTAAAGGTGTGAATGCTGTGTCAAAAGGGACTGTACATGCAGTGGGAAAATGAATACCCAGCTCTCAACAGACTTCTGTTGGGAGCTTGGCATATGGCTGTTCTTATGAATCAGCCTGAATTTCCTATTCCTTCTGAATGTAAAAGTAGTACCTGATCTCACTAATACCCTGACATAATATGAGAAGAACATCTGATTCTTCTCGTGAATTAATTTGTTTAACATCCTATGGAGAAGCTGACTGCTAATGTAGGTTGAACAGCTTTGCACTACCCTGGTGTCTAATTTGCCAAGATAAGGTTCAGGTCTGGAGAACTTCAGCTGCTCAGAAAAGGCAACAGTCTGCTGAAGGAAATGTCTCCTGTGCTATTTTGTTGAGCTCCATTTTCCTTTTGTTCCGAGCTCAATTGTGAGATGAGGGTGGGAGGCTGGAATTTCACTGGCTGCAGTTTCTCTCAGCTTTGATTCTGAACATAAAAGAAACTACACAGCGTTGGTCCATGTGAGGACCAAAAGTATTTTGAGAGCACTCAGGCTGGCTGAGAACACAGGTTGCTCAGAGATTCCTGCAGTTCCTTTGGACAGCTTGCATAGGTTAACAGGGCATCACTGAAAAGCTGTGATCTCTGAAAGCAAGTGGAGATATGAAACCTTTCAGGTCTGATAGAATTAATCTGCTTTTAACCTCCTCATTATTGCTGTCTCAGTGTAAGAGCACAAAATTTCTAGCATGAAGAATGCTGATCATAAAGCAGGAATGAATATATGTGTAGTGAAGAAAGTGACTTCCAAAGGAATAAAAGCATCTTTCCTGTTTGAAGATGCTTTCTTTGTTATTAGTGCCATACCTTTGCAATTCTATGTTCCATATCTAAACTGTATCAAAATCTAATTTAGTCATTGTGGTGGTGTTCTGCTTCGTTCCCATCGGGTCCATGTTGATGGAATGAAAGAAGCCTCCTGCTTGGTCCATCTTGGCAAAAGCCTTTTGTAGCCAATAAACCCTGAGGGCACACAAAGTTTTGTCCTCTGCAGCAAGTGTTTACTTAAGCTGCTTCAATGTTTAATCTCCCTGTACATTGACCCTGTATCCATGTTGTGGGGGAAGCACCTTCAGTAATTCACACACACAAAGGTGACAGTCAGCGCTGATGTTTAAGTAACTCACAATAGCTGTGTATCCAGGAAAGGAGTTTTCCAAAGAGTTAGTTCTGATGTTTGAGAAATACCTGTATATTCAATTATTCTTGTCCTCACAGTGACCAAAGATACACTCTACCTGATTCTGACAAAAGTGATTCCATAGTACAAATGGGCTCTTGGAACAAGTTGTCCTATTTTTTTTTTTTTTTTTTTGGAATGTAAATCAATGCTGCTGGACTGTATGCTTTAGGTTTGGTTGTCTTGGTCTCTTGTATCGTACCTTTGCTCTTGCAATACTTGATTTCTCTGCCAGTGTTAAATGGAGTTATTTCAGGTGGCATTTTATGAGTACACCCACTTGCCAGTGTGGTGCTTCTCTGCCACCAGCAGATGGATCACAGCTATGTTTTCATGCTGAGATTGCAGACTGAAGTATTTAATATCACTTTTGCTAGGCTATCTTAGTGAAATGTGGTCATTTCCTAGATGCAAACACATACATACATATATATATATATTGTATATACATAGAAAGTATTATTTTGAGCTTCAACAGAAGTCAAAAATTGATCCAGCACTTTAAGGTTGTTGCAGCATGAAGAGTGGTGTGTAAAATTTTCCAGATCTTAAAATGACTGTACAAATATGCTGACAGCAGAATATGTGTATGGAAAATAAAGTTAATTAATATGTTTATTAAGCTTTGTTTCAGTGTAAGTAGACATGAATGCCATTTCTGAGAGCTTTTCCAGAGGGATTGTCAATGTGCTTGGATCTGGATGTTTGTGGAGAACCAGAAGCTTTTGCTTCTAAGCTATTCACACATTTACATCCAAATCAGTTGATTTTTGTGTTGATTTGGTCAAAGCATGGGTCTAGTATCTGCTAAAGGACCTCCTCTTCCATCAGAATCCTTCCAACAGACAGATAGGGAATAGATATTAAATAAAGCTTTATCTTGGTGCTAGTGTGAAGGCTGTTGATTTGATAGCATGAGACACAGTGAGTTTGGTTTCCTTTCAAGACCCCACAAAGACAAATGCTTTAAAAGAGCTAAAGCAATTGGCAGATAGAGAAATGCTTGTGGGTTTAACT